AAGAAAAAGATCAATAGCAGAAGTCCAATAATTTAATCATGAAAGTAAAGGTTAATTCTATCATCAACATCACTTTAAAGGGAGCGCTCAGGCGCCAAGGTTGCTCAGTCGAACCATAGTTGAGGCATTAAGGGATCCTCAGAAGGTCATGAACAAGAAGGAAATGAGAGAGTTGTTAGCACACCATTACTCTTAGCACTTGTGTATGAATTAGGAACCTTTGTATGCTACTTTTTTGCAATCAAGTCAACTAAAAATCATCACCTTAAATTAAGCACGTACATATTCTACAATATCTGGATGTCGATCTCCGTGTGCTGCTTCTGTTGCAACATACCAAGGCGCCATGAGATAATTTGCATCAGAACTTGAAACTTGAGATGTGTTGGAAATTGCTAATTAATTTTAAGGCGGTCGTGCTACACAAAAATAACTTCGAGCTTCGCACAAGGGTTGCTCTTGATATGCTTCTCGAGTTCAGCATCGTTATTAAATCTGAAGGTGTACAGTGCTTCTCTCTGAGTGATGCCAACTGGGTATATTCGATGTATTTTCAAGTCATTTCCCCCTCTTAGAATTGTTGGCCTTTCGTTCTTCCAAATGGGTGTGTGGTTCAATGATCTGAACTTGGCTAGAATTGCAGATTCTAAAGCTTTTAAAGTCAACTTCCCAGATCTGCCATAGATTGTCAAAACAAAGAAAAAGAAAGTAGTCATTTAACCATTACACCTGAATCATAATATGCATATTAAGGCTGTTTAGATTATTAAGTCATAACCATATTTGGTTTCAGACATGCAACAAGCGCAATATCTGCATTGAAGACAGACCAGCAGAGTCATATGACAAAAAAGAAACAATAAATTCAAATAATAAGTTGAATATATGGTACCTCAGGTAGATGCTCTCCATCTTGAATCGACCTCTTTCTCGGACGAACAGGTGGTATACTGTTCCCATATTGCTGGTGCAACTGCAGGAGCGATTCTGGAACGCAGCACTCTTTTCCTCAATCTCTTGGATCTTTGTTGCTAGATGTATGCAGAGCCGACAGGATGAATGTACAGCTGCCATGTCCACAAGGGCCTTGAATGAATCAGATGGACCCTCATGCTTCCACCTACATTCAAGACACTTGGTTCCCCATCACAGCTTCACAATTTGAAAAGAAACGAAGTGATGACATTATGGCACAGCTATCTTAGTATTAAATTGACTCTACAAATTAGTAATATGTATGAATGTCGTCGCAGTATGGTTCTGAAGTAATTAAAATATCATCCTGTGTTGTGCATTTGCCAGCACATGCCAAATGGTGTCATGCTACTAATGCAGAAAAATACCATTCAACAAGAGAAGCTTATTCGGGGAACATGATCAAGCTTTCAAATGTGGCTTAACATGTAGAAAGGACACTGAGATAGTCCACAGGCCATCAAATATTTCAATAAGATACAATCAGAAAATGTACTCTACTAAAATCCCACGACAATGTACTCCCAAAGAAACATTTTACAGAATAACATCAACAGAAATATACAAGCTAAAAAATGTCATTGTAGTTCAAGGTGCTTCTGAATTCTGATGATAAGATTGATTGCAAAAGCATGAACACATGATGACCAAGAGTCTTTTGCCAGATAATTAACAAAATTTCAGAAATTACCTCAGTGCATGATTATAAGCATCAGAATTTGTTGCAAGGTACCTAATGCTTTTGGCAACTGAATCAATATCACTAATCTCTTTAATATGCAAAATAGAATCAGGAGAAGGTGCAAAGTCTTGGATATTTGGAGCACCAATGACAACAGGAACAGTTCCTGAAAAATAATAACAAGGATGAAATACATTTCTAAAGACATATTTGAGCTGAAGTAGAATATTCAAGGAACTCTCACGGAAGCTTTCCTGAGTTTGGATTAAAGTTCATAAAAGTCAGCATTAATAATGCATCCACAGATTGGATTAATTAGGATCTCTTACAGATTATGATTGTTTTTCCTATTCCTTGGTGGATGACACCTAGATTTTGGGTCAACTAGTAAACTTCAAAAAAATGAGGTGTAAAGTATACAGTATTACAACTGAAATGTGGGTTTGCATGCACAAGAATGGCCTTAACTCCAAACTAATGCAATATGCAAACTTTTACACTAAAAAATGACAGCTTCTTATAAACACAAAATGCAGGAGGAAATAGATTCTGCCAATTGCAATAAAAGAATTTTAATGTTTGGAAACTTGAGTATGAACAAGTCAGAAATATAATAGTTTGATCGGCATACCTGCAACAAGTGACTGAAAGAATTTTTCTGTGACATAGTCCTCCTCATTAGAATTCTCAAAAGCCAAGCTAAATTTATAGCGTTTTAAAGTTTCTACTTTCTCCACTGCATCCAAATAAGAAACAGAAAAAGTGCACGGTCAAGAGCTAATTTTAGGAACAAGATTGAAATATCCATAAGAAAGTGTCAATTGTTCCAAGTTAAAAATGCAATATTCTTACCAAGCACATAGTATATACATGTAAATAAGTGTACAAAGACAAGCATCACCAGATAGAGATTTTAACATCACCAGATCAACATGCATGTTCACAGTACATTTTATACCATAGTTTTTCTTTGACTACGTGTGACATGAACAAGCATAAAAAGGACTTTATGTGCTTCAACAATGCAGATTTCTAGTCCCAGTGATCAAGCAGTTGGGAGCTATTGAGAAACACATAAATCCACAATAAACAAAGCAAAACGATGACATAGCTTGTACTTACCATTACCATCTCGATTACGGTGACAACTACCATAAGAATCTATCTTAATGCCTGACTCTTCCAGCATAGTAAGGGCCTGCAAACGAAAATTTCGAGCCCCACAATTGGAAATGAAAGCAGCTGCAAGTGCTTCTTCAGTTTTTGGCTGCATAGGAGTCATTATGTCATACTCGGCCCATGAGAAATAACCAACTGGTACATCTGAGGAAAGGCTGGTCGTCATTACAACTTTATACCCTCTCCTATCACCCAAGACAGAACGGTCAATATCCAAGTAAATCTTCAAGAAAAAGAGAAAAAAAATTTGCTTTCTCCTTTCCAAGTAGTAAATTGTTACATGTTAATTTGGGATAGCAGAAACAATAACATAATTAATAAAATAATGTTGGGAAAAAAACAACATTTGAAACAGAACCTAAGAGTAGTAGTCTAGATAGCTAAATGACAATGTAAGTAGTAGGTTTTTCTTTCTCCTTTCAGAAAATGTATACTGTTATATGTTAATCTATCAATTTTAAGCTTGAGCAATCAATATATAGTGACTAATCAAAGAACACTAAAAAGCACCAAGAGTCCACCTTCAAAATTATTTGAATTTTATACTATAGTAGAATAGTTATCTTAAAGTATGATTTCTTAGTAAATGGCATCTTCACTGTTCTGAGATTGTTGAGTCCTATGACCCGGTCCACAGTCTTTAATCGAATAGGAAGTTGAATTGCATGTTCTCATAAGAGATAATTAATTATAAGCTTGATCTAGGCAACAAAATTTGATCCTTCTAAAGAAAGTATCCAATGATGTTAGAGTCGATTGTCCTAAATAAGAAACTTACATATACAAAGAATGCATATTGGTGTGCTATGACAGTTAAACTCAACAAAGTTACTTCGGTGTGGTTGGCAATTGTCATTTAAAAAAACAAGCACTTGTTCAATGTTAGAGTCGATTGTCCTAAATAAGAAACCTACAAATACAAAGAATGCATATTGGTGTGCTATGACAGTAAACTCAACAAAGTTACTTTGGTGTGGTTGGCAATTGTCATTCAAAAAAACAAGCATTTGTTCCAGTTTCAAATACAAAATCAAGTGAAGACTGATCCAGTCTATCTTTATTCAAAAGTCTTGATCAAATTGTTGAATTCGTTTCAGAACTTGGAGAGAACATTCTCAGTATGAAAAGTAAAATTCCTCAGAGAATATACACTTTGCTTGGAGAAGGACGTGCAGATGGAACTAATTTAGCTGTTGCCAGAATCTGAACCCCATGGCAATGTGATCATACTCCCTTTTAAATCAAATGAAGATGAGAATGATAGCCTACTTATATTCAACCGTAAGATGAAGAATCTCCTATCGAGGATGCCTTTTCCAAAGGATGTTGAGATGGCAAGGAAGTCTTAGCCATCATCTATATAAAGAGGGCAAGGGTCGTATTGAAAGACATAACATTGGCAGATTTAAAGAGGATAAGGATCTTCACCCAGAAGATATTCTGATCCTGTTACAAATTTTATTTTCCAGATCTATACTTTACAATGTATTTTATTGTCAAGATCTAGACTTCACAGTGTATGCTATTGAAGGATGCACCTTACTGGAACACATGCAATAAAGGTGTAGTACTTATATGCATCATCTACTTAGTCCTTTTGCCCCAGGATTACAGTCACAAAAGAATAATAATCACTTTGTGCACATGATTGGAGCATACTTCATGAAAATGGAAAATTTAGTGAAAGAAGAACTAATGCAAGGCACGTATGATATTTTCAGCACAATCTAGTCAAATATCAGATAAAATCTAATTAAAATAAGTCTCGTTTCCAGCTTTAGAGGTTTACACTAGGTCCTAATATTGTCAATGCCAGAGAGATAATACTGACCACAAGAACAAACAATAGAAATCAACAGCTGGTATATTGTGTGATGTCATGCTATCAGCAAATGAATCTAACTGTTAATTGGCTATCAGAAGAATATATATATACACACACACAAAGAGAGAGAGAGAGAGAGAGAGAGCCAATTGAGAGTGTCCTGTAAAACTATTCTGGTAACTATTTCTATCCAGTTGTCATATCAATAAAACATTTTCCTTCTCTACTATAGACTGCCAATTAGTTTGTCCATCAGACAACATAAATTTTTAACAGGCATACATTCTACTAACACTAAAAGATTGGTAGAGAAGTTGATTTTATGAAATGTCAATCTACAAATTAAATGTGCATTTTAGACTAACTGTAAAGACCCTACAAAACATAATAAGAGACTGAATTTTCAACTATTCAGATGGAAACAAAGAAATATGATTCAACAAATAAACTGTGCTTACCCACCGTCGTGCCGTATCAATGTCATTTTCTGGATAATAGTGTGCGGATTCCATTGACCGTAAGATACCAGCTACTGCTGGATTTTGTGGTAGCCCAAATGCAGCATCAGGTACCTTGTCATTTGCAAATCCAAATTTACAGTCCATGGGACAAGAACTCCAATCCTGAGTTGGACATGTGTGATACAATTAGAACAAATGGAAGAAGACTTAAATTTTAGCAAAAGGTGATACTGATATTCTATAGTAAAAGCTAAAAGGCTACTGTTAGCATCACAGCTTTGCTTCAATGAGCTTCATCCATGTGAAAAACTCCCCACTATTGCATCCCAAGTTGTATCTAACTGTGAATGACTATCCCCTTGAATCAGCTACAGTTGATGACTAATAGTATTAAGCAAGGTTAAATCATACAAGATCAGATTCAGTTTCTAGATTGACATTTGAGAGTTTGATGGGATCTAACTGAATCAGTTAGATCAAATAACAAAAGGGCGCTTCAGGCAAAATTCAAGATTGTTGTCTCATGCAATATTGACTTGCATGCTCATGCAATATTTAAAGCATCATCTAGCTGATTGTCTGATAACAAAAAATAACATGAAATATGTACCACACCAATGGAATAGTTTTCCAAAGATAAAAGATGAAGTCTCCACTTGTATCTGTTCATTTGATAAATCAATAACCCCAAATTAACAAATGCAGATGATAAAATATATATAACCTTTTTTTCTATCAAAGTGAGGCTTATGCGTCAGTAAATGACTTAGCCTACTGCTGCAATCTGGTAATCCTGAGTATTGTTGTACTACTGTGGTTGTGATGGTATGGTCATTTCAATACAATGAATGTAGATAAAGAACCAGCTCAACATGCATCCTAAATTATAGAGATACCTTTCAGAATAACTTTATTCATCAGAACAGGGTTTCCTAAGAAAATTGTCTTGAACACACAGATAAGTTCAATCCCACATTCTGTTTGTCATTCTCACCTTACAATAACCAAATTCATTTCTCTTATACTGCTATGACTTGTGCAGTACCACTCTTTTCCCTAAATCATCTAAACAAGAAAATTCATTTTTCCTTCAATCATGTTGTGGGTACTGATTCAAACCAGACTACTTTAGGCTAATATATTAAAAACAAAATTGTATATGTATCCCACAGAGTTGATGATCTTTGTATTTATCCCATTCAACTTAGGTCTGTCATGTATATATACATATAACTCAAAAACTCACATATATGTCCTTGTAGTGAATTTCTATCTGTTACTTGTCATATGACCATTAGAGCATTAATATTTAATACCTTTTACAAGCCCCATTATGATTATAATATTTTTTTAATTAGGTATTTTTAATATTTTTAAAATCAAACTATCAACTGATAACCATGACGAGCGGTGATTAACTTCAGTTTCCTCAATGGATGTTAATGGGAGGGGTAATTATGGAAGATCCTAAATCTTGAAAAAAAAAATATGCTATATTAAATTGAAGCTTACTATTCACAACTCCTTTTTAATTATTGACAACCCTTTAAAACAAATATAAAATATTACTTTAATAAAGCTTCTTTAAGTTTCTTCAATAATTATTCTTATCTTTTATTATTTTCTTCATGGTATCAGAGCCACTTGCCTAGAGCAAGCTCTCTTCTCGCTGTCGACTCATCTGTTGCCACCTCCGGCGGCAAAAGAAAAAGCTTTCTACTACTGCTTTTCCATCGTCAGGCTATCGGTGCGATAAATCTTTCCTCCTCGGCGAACGACAACTATCTTCTCCACTGCCACTCTATACCAACGTCCGTTCCCTTCCGCTGTGGCGTCTCTAGTGCTACACTCACCAGCACTGCCCTATCTTTCCTCCTTTGCTGTAGCCTTCTTCTCTATTGTAGCATCGTTGTAGCTTCCTCCTCTTTTGCAGCTTCCTCCTCTACTGTACCTCTATTGCAGCTTCCTCCTCTGCTGTACCTCTATTGCAGCTTTCTCCTCTGCTGCACCTCTGCTGTAGCTTCCTCCTCTGCTATAGTATCGCTGCAACATCGCTGCAATTTCCTCCTTTACTGCAGCTTATTTCTCTACTACAGCATTGCTATGGCTTTTTTCTATTACTGCAGCTTTCTCTCTACTGCAGCCGTCGCCGTCGCAATCACAACAACAACAACAGCAACAACAGCAGCAGCGTGCTCTTGCCCTGCTCACGAAGCCTCTAGCTCGTAAATCATTCTTTGCGTCGATCCAAAATTTGTATCCTTGACAGGAGCACCATCTTGACCTCGCTCATCATCCCCTCGACATCATCCTCCGAGGAGGAGGAGAAGAAAGAAGAAGAGGAAGAAAAGGGGTAGGAGGAGGAAGAAGAAGAGGGTATTTAGGTCCATTTGTAAAATGATAGTTTAGAAATATTTAAAATTTTTAAGGAGATTACTATCTACAACCCCATTTTAAAATTTTTTAATATTTCTAAACTACGTCTTTGCAAATGGACGTAAATACTGTCTTCTTCTTCCACCTCCCTTTCTCTTTTTCCCTCCTCCTCTTCTTTTCCTTCTTCCTCCTCTTCTTCTTCTTCTTCTTTGCCTCCTCTTCTTCTTACTCCTCCGAGGACGGCACCGAGGGGGCAGCGAGCAAGGTCGAACAATATAGTAATCTCCTATTAAATTTTGCAGGGTGGAATATGGCTAGTCAAAGATAAATGTAAAACAATATATATTACAAAAGGAAAGGCTTATATCCAATCTAGACACCCAAACTTGTAACAGGAAACCAGTGCGCCACCAAATTCATTGCGTTCGACACCCTTTTACCACTACAGCCAAACAAAGCTGGCTACCATCGATCAGATTTCCCTTAACATCTAACAACGCTAGAAATTCTAACGACGCAAAAAGTTCATCCTCCACGAGAACAAAGCCTTACAACAATAACGCCCTTCAGAGAAGAAGGGAGGAGGAAACCTAGCTTTAGGAGGAAGAAAGGAATACAAGAAAGGCGAACGTTGACTAGAAGAAAAGTGCATCAAAGAAATACTAACCTTTTGCATGCCGTGAACCAAGATCGGATCCTTTCCGAAATCGCGGGAGTAAGGCACGGCGTCCTCCCTCTCCAACCACTCCTCGCAATTCCGAGTGTCGCCCCGATCCTCGTCCTCATCGAGCCCCTTCAGAGTCCAAGAAGCCGAAGAAGAAGAAGAAGAAGAAGAATATAAGGGGGTGGACCACTGCTCGACCACGGAGGCGGCCTTCTCAGCCATGTCGAGGCGGCCCAAGAAGGCGATCTCGGCGAAGACGACCAGAGCCGCCAGGAGCGGCATCAGGCTCGGCCATCTCCTCCGCTGCTGCTGCTGATTGGAGGCCGCAACCATCGTTAGATGGCCGCTCTCCTTAGCCATCGTCTCCTTCGAAGCCTGAGGAAGAGGAGTCGCACCGGCCGCCGCGGTCGCGGTTGGTGTGCTTGTCTTCCTGACTCCGAGCTAATGGCTGAAAGAAAAGAATCTATCATGTTCGGTTTGGACAAGCAGACTGTCGCCCTCCGTGAATACCCTTACCACCTGGCCTCCTCGGTGGCGCATATATCGTAACAGTGTCCAATCACAAGGTAGGTATGTTTCACGGGTACTAGAGCGCGGCTGGACCGGACCGGACCGGACCGAACCAAACCAAGCCCAGCGAGTTGGACCAATTCTGTCGAGTCAAAGGATTGGTCCCATATCGAACATCATTACTTGTGATTATTGAATTGTGGATTTCTTTTAGCTTTTCGTAATCAGATTCTTTATTCGTTCGTGAAACTTTCCAATTGCTTCTGATTTTTCTTATAATTTTTTTTATAACTTTTATCTTTTTGTTTACAATAGATAAGTATTTTTTGTCTCTTAAAAATAATGATCAATGTCAACTAATTTAATTGATAAAGATTTCGACAATCCATCACAAGATTCTAAGATCTTGGATTTTAATCCCATCTTAATCACTTACCTTTTATATATCCATCTTACACCCTATCTGATACATCGTATTTCTCCCAATCCTTTGGAATGGAGAAGTTGTGGACCACTTATTGAGCCCCTTTCTTCTTCCTCTAACCTTCTACATAGATATCATTAAACCGTTTCTTGTCGGTGCAGTTGCTTATTACCAACAACCGTTTCCATCAAGCAAGCACCTGAGCTCAGTTGCAGACCTTGCTGCTGCCCTGTTGCAGAGGTGTCGAGATTCCCATCCATGGCATTGCAAAGCTCATCTTCATGGGCCGTTCTCCATGGCCGCAGCCTCTTTGTCCCGGTGCTCTTTTCCCTCTCCTCTCCCTGAAAGCCCTTCAGAAGCACCCCGAAGACCTTGATTCCTCCTCCTTGCTCTGCCAGAGTCTCTTCTTCTACCCCTTCTTTCTTACCTATTTCTGCTGCCTCTGCTGCTGCTGGCCTCATTGGCAGACCCAACTCCAGCTGACTGACATCGACATACTTGGAGAGGATACGTAGCAGCTCATGAAAGCGGCACTTGGCCCGATCCAGCTCGGTGTTGAGGACGTAGTGATCCTTCCTAAGCTTCTCATTCTCGTTTGCTAGTTCCAGAGGCTGCTTTAGCGGCAATGGCGGAGGAGAGGAGGCAGAGGAAGAGCTGTGCCTGTCCCAGGAGTTGGAAGTGGACGAAGGTGGAAGCCGGATCTCATGTCGCGAACTCGACTTGTCGTCGGCGGATGGGCGAGGCTCTGAAGCCGGTTTCCTCCGGTGGATGTTGCGGAGCAGCTTCTTCTCTCCTTGCCGGAAGTTGTCGTTCGTGAACTCCCATCGCTCGGCCACCACCTTGCGGAAGCCCTGCAAGACAAGTCCACTCTTTGCAGGCCAACACTTGAGAAGCCGTTCGATGTGTTGATTGATGCTTAAAGGATTAAATCTTGCAACTATATATATATATATATATATATATATATATATATATATATATATATATATATATATATATATATATATATATATATATATATATATATATATATATAT